TCCCATCGCCCGTTCCCAGGGAGAAGAGGCCGACCCCCCCGGCTCCCCCCTCCTCTCAGGCAGTTGTAGAGGGCAATGAGGGCTCCCCTCAGCCTCCTCTTCTCCAGGCTGAACACCCCCAGCTGCTCCTCGTAAGACTTGTGCTCCAGGTGAAAGCCCTTCTTTTTCTAGCAAGTCTCCCTTTTTCTCATTAATAGATCTAGCACCATCAGGAAAAATCTCCCAAGTAGAATAAATGAAATCTAACAGATTTGCTGCGCTCTCAAGATACATATGAAACCCAACATAATTCACATGAAACACCACGAATTTAGGTATTTAGCAGTAACCACTTCAGCTGAATCTCATTCTCATCTGATCGACATCAGTTTAAAAAGATACATATCTAATTGTGTTATTAGAGATCCAGCACTGGAACAGATACTCTAGTTATTCATCTGACATCAATAAAACAACCTTGGTATCCACATTGCCCTTCTTATCCTCTGGCGGATTCGGCTGACAAACTTTAGGAAGTTTAAGAGACAGGACCCTCACAAACCTAATGACCGGTAAGCCCTTTGGAATGACTCAACATAAGGTCTGTTTTATTGTTAAGGTATTTTCTCTAAAATGCACGTCTTTTAAAGTGCTTTAAAGAAGTTACTTGGTGGCACATATGGCTACCACTGTGCTGGATGTAGGGAACCAGACTGAATCCGCTAACACGTTCATTGCTGACAAAGAAAAAAAAACCAACCACAAGAATCCAAACACATCAAATCACACCAGATGATGTAGAAGAATGTACAAAGGCGATGGAAGAATGTCTCTGGTCCTGAAAATTCACAGGAGAAAGGAGTTAAATTTAAAGAAAAACAAACCCAAAAACTTAAAAAGTCCTTCTTCTATTAAAAGATGGGCAGACGAGGTGCTTAGGGACAGGGTTTAGTGGTGGGATGGCAGCGTTAGGTTAACGGTTGGACTTGATGATCTTCAAGGGCTTTTCCAACCCAAACGATTCTGTGATTCTATGACTTGGAATCTCTTAAAGAGCATATAAGCACCTTAACCAAACACCTCGCGTGCCCCGCCCCCTCTGCGAAGCACGGGAAAAGCACTATACCCCAAATGGTTTCACTAAGGGCGAAACAGACGTGCCTTGTCCCGGCCACCAACGCGCCGCCCC